ACACAAAAAACTAGAGTAAAAAGGTTTACAAGAAACAAGTTATGAACTTTGACAAAGATTAATTTCTTGTGAAAAAAGAGCGTAGCGAGAAAACTCTTGTTTTGAAAAAAACTTTTTTTAAACCAGTTTTATTCATCTTCAAATGCAGTTTTAAACATAAATTATGAGTTTTACTTTCTTTTTTATCCAATTTCATTCATTGTGTTCGATTTATAAGTCACCAAAGGGCGTTCGCTTGCGCAGCATATCACCGGACTCCTAATTTTTCAAACGCTATTCGAGGCGGGGGGACCCCCCGGACTCTAATCGCTTTTTAAATTTTCGGAGTCCGGTGATATGATCCAACTTAATAAAGTCAAGGGACCGAGCTTTACCTCAGCGAGCGCAGACGAGCGTTACCTTGTTTATAAAGCCAATATGAGAAGAGCGTGAATATATATATGATCATACAAGAAGAAAAGAAAGGAGGTTGTGTTTTCCTCGGTGAAGTTTTATGTCTTCTGGCTAAAGTGTCGACTGAATGCTATTATACACCAAACGAATATTTCTCCTATATGGAAGGATACAAAAATTTAAGTTTTGATTCTAACAAAGCAGATATGAAAATTTAGCTAGATCTAAACTAGTGTACTCTAGCGCTGCATCTTATTCGACGATTCTCGCTACAGACAGATCAATCATCATCTAGTCCAAAGATAGTATTAATCATGCAAACAACAAAAGTCAACAGTTTGGTAGTGTAGCATGAACAAGTTTGTGGCGAATTCAAAAATGAACGCATAATTTGTCAAGATTTTCCGAGTACTGTATGACAATTACTTACTGCATTTGTGGAAGAAATACGTTTTTTCAACTTAAAACTTTTCATTGTTGTTTCGAAGCATGAAGTATTTTGTTCAGTATTAGGATTGTTTGTAAAGTGACAGTCTTTCACATACAATAGGATCTTAGAATAGAAGCAAAAGGATAAGTCGCACACATCTCAGACGAAAAACGTTTATTAAAAACGTACTGATCGAAAACGATGTTCGGCCACAATTAATTTATTAAACACTGTATGAATCTGGAAGACAACCTCAGTCATCTTCGAAACTCTGTTAAAATACATTTTTATCCTGTAATTGTTATTCACTGAGCTTATAACAAGCGTTTACATGACCTTTTCTTGGTTATTTAATTTTAAGTTTATATGTACCACTGATCTCACATTTTGATTATTGCTGTTAGATGAAGTATAGCGATTTTTTTATTTCCAATTAACTAAAAGCTCCACATTCTAATTATGAGTATATCTGGAAACGATTGTAAATTAAGTATGTATTTTAAAAAGGATTATGGAAACTATCTTTTACTCCAGTCTATTTTTTTTAGCTACATTTCCTGCTGGTGATGCACGATTAACCACTGTTACATTTGGTCATCGTTCAGGAAAATTAATTGCTACTGGTAGTGAAGATAATATTATTCATATCTATGTTGTGGGACAATCAACTTCGGTTCTTGTACGTCATCGTACTAGTGTGATAAAAGAAAACAAAGAATCGTTACTCTTTCTTTTGTAGACGTTAACATGTCAGACAACTGCAATAAGTGCACTGAGATTTTCAACCGAGGAAAATATGCTGGCATCTGGGAGTTTATCTGGTGCATTGAAACTATGCGATCTTGAAAGTCAGAAAAGTAATGTTAATTCTCAAAGAAAAGTAGCAATGACTTTATTTTCTTTATTACTAATTTTATTTTCTTATTAGTCATTCATCCTGGTGGACACAAGGCCGCAATTCGCTGCATTGAATATTTCCCGAGTAGTAATAACTTCTTAGTAACTGGTTCAGTTGACGGTATAGCCAAGGTTCGTATTTCTAATTTTTTTCTCATACTAATATAAGTTTTGACTGTAAGATCTGTTTATTTACATTTATTCTTTTCCAGTTATGGGATCAACGTCAAAAAGGGTTTTTATTCAATTATAAAGTAGGTGATCCATTACATGAGATTTATTCTCATCACGAGAGCAACTTGAATAACAACTTGACAGCGATGATTTCTTATCGTTTCCATTTTGCATTACCACTCATCACTCAAATGCTCTGAGATGAACTGTTCTTTTCATACTTTTTTACAATGTTATGTCAATTTCTAACTATTGAGTCTTATACAACTGTGGTCACTTCTTGGCTTACTCGTTAGTACATACATTTTTTGATACACCTTGTTAAACGTCCTCATATATTTATCACTGATTGTTTTTTAAACTTTTTAACATCAGATGATGGATATTGATAAGTTTTATTGATACTAACGCATGTACTTACATGGTTAATATTGTGATTTTCAATATGGGTATTATTATGTCTCAGATAATAGTCTCATCTATTACTCTTACAAGAACGAGTTTTTAGTTTATACCTTCATGATTATATCATTCTTACGTTTATTGTGTGAGTTGGTTCAGTTCATATCATTCATTTTGGAGATGAAAAGGGCGTCTATGTCACTGAATAATATTTCATTTGTTCATGCTTAGGGGCATAACGGCGCAATTAATTCGTTAAAATTTAGTCCTGATGGTCGATACTTAACAACAGCAGCAGATGATGCAGCTATACGTGTATGTTTTTTACTTTGTCAAAGTGATTTCTAGCAAACTTGCTTTTGTATTATTATTCAGATGTGGGATGTTAAAGGTGGAAGATTTATTAAAGATTTATTGGATCATCAAGGGCCTGTGAATACAATTGAGTATCATCCAAAAGAATTATTATTGGCATCTGGCAGTTCCGATAAGTAATGTATTCTTTTGTCTGCTAAATGCAAATATATGACTGTTTGTTTGGTTTTTCTAGAAGAATTAAATTTTGGGATCTTGACAAATATCAGACAATATGTGAAACACCTCAAGAGTTGTCTGCTATCAAGTATTTTGCATCTATCTATTTTATTAATTTGATATGAATATGTGTTTCATCTTCTTTGTAGATGTTTAGCTTTTGACCCAGATAATGCAAGTTATTTATTCAGTGGTTCTAATGATATGTTGCGTGTTTATAACTGGGAACCTGTCCAACTATTAGATACAGTAACTGTTGGATGGAAAAATGTACAAGATATAGTTGTTCATAAAGATCAGTTGGTAAAAATTCAAAGGCGAATGACTGTAGATAATATTTCTTATTTCATTTTTTTCTCTCTAGCTTGGAGCATCAGTATTTCAAAATAAGGTCACCATTGGTTCAGTTTACATTCCAGTGAGTATTGTTAATTTGTTCTCTCAAATTGATTTTTATCATAAAAGAATCCATTTTCTTCAGGATTTAAAAACCAAACCCCGTAAAATATCACCCGTTCGAGACTACTTTCCAAATGATTTGAAAACAACTGCCAATATGAATAGTACATCTCGTCGTACTCAATTTCAACCGATTGCTACTAAAGATGAAAATATGAAGTAAGATTAAGCTAGAATATTCTTTCATTTCACGGCCAATAAGGCTTTTCGTTGGTGTTTAGGGTTCGTCAAGATGTATCAGGTCAAGAATCGACACTAGATGCGTCATCCCAGAGTAGTTCCGATGATTTTAAGCAACCACAACCAACTGATAGTGTTGTTATTGACAATATGGAAGATTATGATCGTATATTTCGTTCAAAAAATCATTTATCACGCTCACCAACACCTAAAACTACTAACAATAATAGCAAATCAACTGTACCAGCACCATCCTCTGCGTCAACGGGCACTTTTACAATTAATTCATCGACAACGAATACTGAAAATTCTGCACAACCTTCTACAAAAGGTTCAAATGTATGTTCAGTATTCAACAGTTCATCTTTTTTATGCTATACATTCCTACTTTCTATGACTTAAAGCCGTCCGACGACTTGTTCGTAAATCCAAATAATATTCCTCGACCAAACCAGATGCCAAATATACAACAACCTCAGGTTAACCATATTCTTCGTTGAATTTTTTCTCTTTTACATTAAAATTTGTTTCATTCTAGCCTCGTACAACTGATGAGATATTTTCAACAATGACAAATGCAAATCGTACAATAACGTCTGTTCAAGAACAACGTTTAAAAAATTTACAATTGCTTAGTTGTTTATCTGGTACTACATCAACACAGGTAAAGAAGAGTTTGGAAAAAAATTTAATTTTATCATAGATACAAAGTAAAACATTTTTTCTGTTTTAGACAACACTTCAAGCTGTTGTAGCGTCACACGATTTATCACTAGAATGTCTTCTGTTAAGATTTGTTATTGATAAACTTTCAAGGTAAGAGTTAAATTACGAATGAAATATTCAATAACATTTCTTATCTGATATCTAACTAAGGAAAGAATGGAATCTCGAATTATGTGCTTCAATTTTACCAGCAATCAGGGATTTATTGAAATCGCATCATCATTGGTATGTCCAAAGACATAGATTTATTCACTAACATAAATAATGATACATTTTGGATATAAAATATTTTTTCTAGGTATAATCTAACAGCTTGTCATGGTCTTGAAAAGATTTTATCTGGTTTTGGCACCGTCATTTATGATAATGTTACTGCAAAATCTATTGGAGTTGATTTGTCTCAACAAGCTAGGTAAGAACGTATTCCGAGTGAAGCAAAAATCTTTTAGCATTTCGTCAGTCTGAGTCTAAGGCAGACTTCTTCTTTCTTCTCGACATGCCAAACTAGAGATCTGCACGAGCACAGGTGTATTCCCGTGCCCGTGCTGCTGGCGGGCATGGACGGCCAATTGCTTCCCTTCGACGGGCACGAGCTTCTCAAAACGATATTTTAAATTTTTTGAACAACAAAATGGTACGAAGGTTTGAATTTTTTGTGAATGAAATATAGACAGTTAGAGACATGCTACAGAAAGAACAACATAATATACATGCGTGAACGAGAAAATGTTTTTCATATACAGACTGTTCATATATGAAAAAAATTCACGGACAAGCAGGGGCAGCGAAAAAAATTCACGAACAGGCACGGACAAGCATCCTCACTAAGGTTATGGGCATGGACGGGCACGGGCAAAAAATCTTGCCCGTGCAGATCTCTATGCCAAACCTCCGTTAAAGCTTCTATTCTTCCTATAAGGCATGTCATCATTGATCTATTTCTTTTTTTTTATATAGACGTGACAAATGTCAATCTTGTCATCATACTTTGCATGAAATTCGCAATTTATTAGAAGAACGTTTAAAACATCATGTTGATTCATCATTAAAAACTGCATTTGACGATAATTTACGTTTATTACGGGAATATGAACGATCTTAACGTTGTATGTTTATTTTGGTGTATTAGGTATTGCCGGTGAATATAGAACCATCCTATAATGTTGCCGCAAATTAAATCAAATAACATACAATAAGCAACTGTGATAATCAGTTGGTGATATATGATGTAGAATCATAATACAAATAGACAATTTCTCCTTCTTATTTTCACTGTTTTGAATGTTCTTAAATTTCGTTTAAAGCGTTTCTCTTTTTTCTACTTTGAAAAGAATGAGTGCGCGTCAAACACAATAGAACGATCAATCGTTTACACAATGCTGGCTACTTTATCTTTCTTCTTTTTTTCACAGATCATCTCAAAGATGAAATCTTGTCTGTTCGTTTTGTAAGCGTTGTTTATCCTCTCGTTTTTTGAGTATATATTGCTTTGATTTTTCTATCCAATTATTTTGTACATTTCGGGCAGATTCAATCTATGCACACAAGTGTCTAGCAAACTCGTTTCTTTTTTCTTTTATTGTAAACACAAAGAGGTCAACTATTTTTTTCAAGAAGAAGCGTTTTAGATTGAACGTAATTATTGTTTAATGTACAACATTTTTTCCTACTAAGATAATGCCATTGACGGATCTAAGTTTCATTGCAGCTAATTGATCTTTCATATTATGCTGCTCTTTTAATACTATTTCTGATATCTATCTCATTTTTAATTTATAAGCAACTACTGTCTTCTAGAACAAGAATATAATTTTTCTTAATGTTTATAGATGTTACATATCAATTAGAAAGAAAACAATTATGTTCTGTTATGGTAGCAATACAAAGGAGTTTCAACTAACAATAAAATTGTTAGACGATTGTGAAATATCAATTGATTTTCGAGTAAATATTTCTTTCAGTATTTGACATTCTCTTGAACGCTTTGTTTTATTCTAGGCAAATCAACGTGGCTACGATTTATTACAGACTGTCTTCAGACGCCTTAATATTCGTGACACAGAATATTTTGGACTTAGCTATTTTGATATTTATTCACAAAAGGTTTGCGGAACAATACAAAAACTAACATAAAATAGTGACAGACTGTTTTTGTTTTCTCTCCACTTAGAAATGGATTGATCCCAAAAAAACACTTTTACCATATGTTCAAGGAGGTAAGAATACAAATGTGTATGTTTATAAGATAAAATTTATTGTCATCGTTTTTCTAAGATGTGGATAATTTAACATTGTATTTTGGAGTGAAATATTTTATCAGTGATCCGTGTAAATGTCATGAAGAAACAAGGTTCATATATAGTATTAATGAATGAAAAATGATCTATTATTATTGTTCCGGTACATTTTAGATATTTATTTTATTTACAAATAAAAAATGACATCATTGAACAACGTTTACATGTACCGGATAATTTGATTAGTGATTTATTTGCTTTAATAGTTCAAGGTATGTAGTCTCTTGTTATTTTTTTTTGTTTTTCTATTCTGTTTCAAATAATGATAATCAATTTCTTTTATTTTCAGCTGAAGTTGGTGATTATACGACTGAACATGACTCAGCTGGTTATATATCTGAATTGATTCGAACAGATGAAAATGAAAATTTAGAAAAGGCTGTCATGGACAAACATAAACAACTGCGGTAAGAAATGAAAATAAATTTTATTCGCTAAATTTACACATTTTGGATCATTCATGTTTTTAGTGGAACAGATAATAGAGTAGCACAGCAAGAATTTCTTAGCAAAGCAAAATGGCTTGATTTTTATGGTGTCGATTTATATCAAGCGTGTGTAAGCAGAATTTCTTATTATCTTATAAAACAATATTTTATTAACAAGAACATACAAACAAAATAAAAGAAGTGGACAGCGAAAATCTGTTCGATTGCAACGTGTAGTCTACCATTAAAGTTTTTTTTTTTATTAGTAAATGATTTTTGTAATGCGATATACGTTGTAATTGTCACCTTACAAAATATCGATTCCTAGACTTTTATTTAATAGTAATCTCTTAAGCATTTTAGTACATATTTTTGCGTCCAAAACTGTTAGTTTATTTCTTCATTAAACGTTTAATTTTCTGTTTAATAGGATGAAAACAATATGAATATTAATTCGGTTGGTTTATCAACAACTGGCATTAGTTTGTATCGTGATATGAAATGTATTTCATCGTATTTCTGGTTAGTATTCCATTATACGTTCATCTTATATGTGTATTGTATAAGACAACACTTTTATTTAGGACAAGTATAAATAAGATTAATTATAGCGGCACTCGATTTACGTTTGTTATATTAGAAAAAGATGTATGTATGTGTGTGTGCTTATCATTCATAATATGAAGTAGAATAATTGAATTTCAACTATTTTTTAACTTCAGAATATTCCAAAAATATTATTCATTCAATCTTGTCACAAAACAGGCTTGCAAACATTTATACAAATCTTCAATAGAATATCAAGAGTTTTTTCGGTAGGTACAATTATCAACTGTGTGTTATAAAACGATTAGTAGTATGAATAAAACATTCAAATGCTAGACGAAAGTTGAAGACATCTCAAAAAAATATGATCTGCAGATTCCTTCCAAAAAAGTCTTGTAAAATCACTTTCGAACTTTAACGATCTCCGCATATAATATTTAATATGAGCAACCACTAGGCTGATTAGTTGATAAAAAATAATTTTTTTCAGACATTTTTTTAGTTGATTTTAACGATAAATATTCCGTAAGTATTTTTTTGTGTGGTGTTGTTTCATTTAATCATTCCTCTTCTCGCTTGTAAAAGGACGCAGTTATGTACACTTCATACTTGTTTGACTTTGCAATTCATAAACCTTTAGTATATAAAACATAATCTTAATTACAAAATTCTCATTTGCATACACATTAACACTTTTCTATTATCTACTTTCTTGATATATGTTTTGGCTTTAAAATTCTGCTTGCATAAGACGTCGAATTTTATTGTATTAACTGGTTCCATTTGTGTTATTTTGTTATTTTTTTTTGTTCTAGTACAAGAAAACTGAGCATACATCATCTACGAAAAAGTGACAGTAAATTACGTTCAATCAAGTACGTATACTGTTTGTTTACATAATAGTTTTGTACATCTTTTTCTTATTTGTTTATTATAGCGACGATGATAATCATACATCAACAAACGCAGCGTTAATCAAATCGCAATCATCAAAACGTCATTCATTAAAAGAAGGTACACTCGAATATTATTAACGTTTTTGTTGAAAATTGTAAGTTCTACTTTTCCTTTAGATAGCAGTTCAATGGGGGGCGGTACAATGTGAGTTTGTTACTTCTCTCCGTTAGTTTTAATTTTTTTAATTATTTTGTTCTTACCGGATTAGATATAAAAATGATCGTAGTAGAACAGATCTGAATAGTACTACTGTTTCTACGAATGACAATGGTGGTAAATCATGGTAGGTTATATCAAACAAGAAAAGTCATTAAATTAATTTTCTGTTTTTTTCTCCTCTAGTCCATTAAAAAAGCAACAAAATTCATCATCATCAATTGTTCGAAAAGTAATATTTTTGGATAGTGATCGTCGAATGAGCACAACGAAACACGATGACTCTAAATCAAAAAGACGATCAATGTGAATATTCTTCTTCATTGTGTTCTTATATTTAGTTTCTTTTATTTTCTTCTTGTTTCAGTGGCTATTCAAATGAAAGTGAAAGTGATCAACGAAATTTTGTAAAATTGACAAAAGAAAAAAATCGGTATATAATAATTATGAATATAATGGAAATAAATGATGAACTTTATCTCTGTATATTTTAGTTCAATAAATGAATTAGCATTTTGCCATGATAATAAGTCTTCCAAAAATTATGCTGAGCCAATTGATGAGAATAAACGATCAAAGTAATAGAAACTTTTTCACTCAATCTAAAAGGTTTATTTAGTTTTACTTTATATTTTCAGAAGTTCACCAGAAGTGAATTATCTTCGAAATGCATTTCCTACAACATCGCATGAAACAACAACATGTGATGAATATGACAATGGTGAAAGTGATCGACAAAAAAAAAGTGTTGTTCGACGACGAAAGTAAAGGTGTAAACCTTTGTCGTATAATTCATTATAATTCTCCTACTATTTAGACGAAGTAAATCACCAAAAGCCAAATTACCATCGGAAATCAAAGAGCATATCGAGTATGTTTCGTTATATACTTTCCTTTTCTTAATGTGTAGTCCTTATCTTTGCTATTCAGATTTAAATTGGTTGATCCTGTTGGACTCAATGAAAATCAATTAAAAGATATACCATATACAAAAGTCGAGTAAGTTTATCATATTTTAAGTGTAAAAGAACAAGAATTGTTTAAACTCTATTCTTCGCAGAACAATGGCTCCACCATTTCGTATTAGTATTTCACCGCACTCCAATCGTAAACGACGTACATCACCCTTCGGAAGAACAAGGTAGATTTTACTAATTTATCTTATCTCTTTCAAAAACAAAATTATAGAAGTTACTTTATTTCTTTCAGTGATGTTGTGCAAAACGCTCCAAATAATTTGCCTTATCGTGGACAACCTGTAGTCTCTGTTGCGCAAGTCAAATCGACGGTAAGTTTGTCCTTACTCAAATAAACAGAACGATTATGTATCTACATTTTTTAAATTTTTGTTTGTAAGAAAATTATCAATATTGCTCGTCCACCATCACTAATAACTCAATCATCAACCGAAGGTAAAATTCACCACCAAATAATAATAATTATTTGTTCTAAATTAATCTAATGTCTTTTTTTTTTTAGCTAAATTATAATTGGTTGGTCGTTTATGAGCGTGTTTTATTGACTGACAGATTTATTCGATGGAGACACATTCCTTTTTGAGTACTTTGTGTTCAATATTATTTATATTTTTTTTTTGTTCGACATCATTTGTCGTTGTTTTGTTTCTGTATTGACAAATTTATTCTGTTTTTCTATTTTTGTTTTGTGGTCGATTATAATAATATGTTTAGGAGAAATTTTTTTTTGACATATTTTCACATTTTGTAAATAATAAAAAGAAGATCTGAATAACTTGGATCTGCACTGAGAGAACGATAATTTATCGATGAAAAATGACGAAAGTTCTGAAAGAGGACATTAAATACTAAAAATAGTTCATTTGGCTAGACTTTTATCTATAGTGAAAAAATGGGATGAATTCATCAAATAAAATCTTGTTTACTCTCGTTCAAAAAAGAAGAAATAAGAAAAAATTCTATCAGTAACTTGTTCAAGAATTCAACTATTTCTACTAACTTGAAAATTCAGTGACGCTCATATGTTAGCGTCACTGGCTGATTTGATTTTGTAGTAAAAGGTTTTGCATTCTGCTACATCATACTATCCTTGCCAAACCAACAACTGGCATCTGTGGAGAGTAGGAGAAGAAATCCATCTGACGCTTTTTTCTCCCGATAAATCATTTTGTTTTTCTTCCTGCAGAGCTATTTGAACAAAAATAATCTCTTGATTTATAAGGAAAAGGACAATTTTTTTCTTGAACTTGACGTCGTCGACAAGCATGCAAAATCGTTCAAATAGAGATCTAAAAATTGAACTATTTTAAACTTTCGGCTCGTGTCATATTGATTTCGGCTAATACATGATGATTTCTAAATTGTTTTAAATGTTCATTTTTAATTAATATGTAAAATAAGCATCAACGAAATCTAATAGAACGTTGTCGTGTATATAAAAATATTTCTTGTCTAATCTTTTTTATAGTAATTTAATAACATTCGTTGTTCATTCAATCGTTCTTGAATATATGTACAATGTATAATTCATACAGAATGAATATGTGAACATTCCGATCCATTCTTGTTTCGTCGACACTAATTTCTTGCTCAATTCGTCGACACTTTTTTTATCCTTTGTAAAACATGGGATTATAGTTGCAATTATAAAGTTTTTATTTCATACAATATAGTCTTGAAAAATAATTGACAAAAAGATCAAAATTTTTTAACATCTATTGTTGTTGATACCTTACACAAAAAGTCATTTAAATTTATAGTATTTTGTTTATATCTATCTTTCTAAATTATGTAAACCATGATTACGATTAATATATAATTTCTTACGTGGCGGTAAACCATTTTGGTTTGTATAAATTTTTTACAACATTATCATGAGTTAACTCGATAATGCCAACCTTCAACATTATAATTTGTTCGACAACTGGGAAAATCATAATAATTCTACATTCTACTTCTATTATCAACTAAAACTGTTTTCTGTACACTATTAGTTTTGATAAATAAATCCATTGTTCAGTTGATCTTTTTTATTGAATTTTATCAACTTTTTTCGAATTTAAAATAGTAGTATACATTTTTATAATTCCATGTTTTACAACGGATAAAAAAAGTGTCGACGAAACAAGAATCAACTTTAATTGATTAAAAACATAGTGTCGATGAATCGAGATAAAAAAAGTGTCGACGAATCGAGCAGGAAATTAGTGTCGACGAAACAAAAATACTCCGGACATTCTATATGAATAAATGAATTTAAAATACAAAATTTGCCATTGCTAAATAATCAAATATCAAATGGCCAATGGTGTAACCTGGATAATGTGCATTTTGTGATGTTAATTGAATACTGTTGAATGCTTGTCAAGGTGCAAAAGAAAAGTCATTTTAAATGTAATCATATATAATGACCATAACGGAACTTATTGTTACTTTATATATGGGCAAAATCAGCCAAAAGTGGACATGACTATCGTTTATTCTTCTTGAATTTCTTCCTAGTCTTATTTTGGGGAATAACTCTTTATTATTTGAATATATGAAGAAGACTTTGCTCTTTAAAACTATAATTAATTAAAACTAATTAACTAATTAGTTAATTAATTAGAAAATAATTAGCGAATAGCGGCTCGAAACTAGTTTCGTTGCTCTTAAGAATTCCAGAGAATGTTTCTATTACTAGTGCGCATCTACTGATAATTTTCAGCAAAATCGGAGGCATTCAACTACCATGCCAAAAAAAGGTTTTCTAGAAATCTCCTGGAGACCTAGTTGAAAAACTTATATTCAATTACCATGTAGAGATCTTTGTGTATCATTTCTATTAAGTAGAAGTCTTATAGGTGACAAGAATGTAATAGCAATGATTTTTTTCTTTTTGAATTTCGTACTCTGTCACGTCCGCAACGACGGTTTAAATGAATTCCAGCGCCAAATATACGAATGATTTAGAAAAACCGTTGCTGCCAGTTTTGTAGCCCGACATCTCCTCTACAACATGCAATTTGAAAAATCTACGACATACTTTATCAATTTCAGAATTTCGAGAAACCGTCGCATGCACTAAAAATGTTTGTCTTTTTCAATCACGTCCGCAACGACGTAGTTTTTCGTGAAAAAGGTAATCTTAACAAGTATCCTCAGAACTCATTTTTTCGTGGCATCGTTAACAACTTGATAGACGTTTATGGTATAAATAGCATCAATAGAAAGTTTAACACTTTAGATATACAGTGACTCAAAGTTTACGCATGTCACGTCCGTAACGTTATTTTGCCCATATATAGATTGTTAGATTTACATTCTGTGATAACTCACCAAAAGTTGACGCTTCTATTAAATTAGCGTTACTAATTTGCTGTGGGAATTCGTGTCATCATTTTTTTTCACTCATCTCTAAATGGCATGACATGAGATATAAATCTGTGTATACGTGTTATATCTCTACATATGATCTTATTTGTTTCTATTGAGTTTAATGTTTTCAAACAGATAGTAATAAGTTAAAACAAAAAGAGATAAAGAATTTTATGTATGGATAGATAGATGAATAAAAACACTGAGAGAACAAATAGAAAGTTCTTTTTGTTTATAACTGTGAAACATTCAATATTTCGAAAATTACTGTCTGTAAAAAAGCAAATGATCGCGTATATTTTTGGAATAACTTTTTAAATGTCATAGATGGAGAACTACGGTCGTCGCTAGTTAATAGCCAATACTCCATCGTTTCAATAACAAGTATGGTTGGGCATTTCTTTTCAAAATAGATTTTCTATGAAATCTTTGAATATGATGTTTCCTACACAAAAGTTTGAGGTAAAAATATTTTCATTTTTTTTTACTTGTATAGATAGTCCAAAGCATCATCTAATTTCTTGGTTTATAAACGTCTAGCTGTGGCATCGGCTTTTCTCTGAAGTGTTCTTGACTTCTGATAAACTCAAAATGCATGGAACATGGGTTACCGATCGTATCTCGCATGACAATATTTGTTAATAAAAGTATTTGAATGCCCGATAGAGACTTATTCCCATGGGAACTTTTGGAATTAATTCGAACTAGTTTAAAAAAGTATCATAGTAAAATTATTAAAATTAAATTTTTTTTCTGAACAATGAAAAAATTCACTCAAAAGCGAACCCATCCTCCTACAAATTTCAAAACTTAAACAGTTTTACATGTTTCAAATAGTGGATTTCCGAAGTTACTAGATCACTTGAAACATGTAAAATTAAGTTCCGAAATTCTAAAGAGGGCGGCGCTCTGAATTATCTAAACATGTCAAAAGAAATGAAAATATTTGTACTTCAAACTTTTGTTTAGAAAACATCATTTTCAAAGATTCGTAGAAAATCTACTTCGAAAAAAGTTATATATTAAGAGTTATTAAAAAAACATATGTGATTATTCGCTTTTTTATAGATAACAGCGAACAAAGAGTTCTTTAGCATATCACATGGTTGAAGTTTCTAGTATATAATACTCTACAATCTACTTCAATCCGTTAAGAAATACTGTCTCGGTTCCTCGGGTTTCCAAAAGTTTTTTAATTTAAAAATGGGATTCGTCGAAGACGGTTGATCTATTAATCAATGGTAAATGATTTCTAACACTTATTCAGTAGATAAGTGATCTATACGCAGTGAGCAAAAATCGGAAAGAACAAAAAAGAAAGAGAAAAATATTAGTTTTTTAGCTCTATTATACACAGTAAAAATATTAAATCAACTAAAAAGCCTAGAAAAGGTATAAATTTTCAGGGTAGCAGAACATTGTATGAACAGAACTATTATATACAAATAAAATGCAGATGGCTATTTTTTGATTAACTTTTGAATTAAAAGAGCTAGTAATTTGTGATTTTAGCCAATCGAAAGAAAAAATTTGAAGACTTTTTCACATACAAAAACAGTTAAAAAATCATTTTCCGAAGAAGAATTTCGAGAGAATCTTTGATAAATCAGTCAAACTCTCTAGAAATTACAGTGACAATATGGTGTTTTTTACATCAGTACGTATATCTAATTGTGTTATAATCATTTGACTGATGATGCTAGTAGAATAAATACGATGAAACATCTCAGAGCAATACTTTGACGCTCAGAATACTCATTTCCAAGTCACTTATTAACGTCTTATATATAAAACGAAAAGTGGTTATTTAAACATTATAGACACTGTTCTATTCAATTTAGATATCATCAATTGTTAAATTTTTTTTCCATTCATTGGAAACAAAGAAAAAGCGTAACAATTTGTTGTTACTTGTTTCAACATTGAGAGCAAGTAGTTCATTTACAGAACACTTTAAAAATAAATTTTAAAAAAGAAGTGTTTTTTTGTCTTTATGGTGAACGAACAGAGCACACTTCTTCACTGTAATTGTTCATATTATTCAATAAATAAAAAATCGCGTTTTGACGTATAGAAAGAAGAGTACCCCGCCTTGCGGCAACCGTTACCAGTACAGGGTGCCGCCTAATGGTAGTTTCGTCAACCCGATATCTTCC